GTATATGAGAAGTCGTTATCAGTTTAATAGCTAATTAAGTCTTTCAACTAATTGGCTCAATTAATAATAGGTCACAAATCACGCCACAGAAATGAAAATATTCTCACTTTTTCTTTTGCATAAAATAATTACAATCCACCAATAGTTTGAGTGTGACCAATAAATCAATCTAATGTGTTTAAAAATGAGTTTAAAAGTAGATCTTTGTTATTTTTAGTAAAAAGTAAAATTTATATTATTACAAAATCTATTACTATAAATAAACTGCATGCCTTATGTGCGGTTGGTAACTGCATGATGGTGTGTTAAAAATATAACTTCTATGAATCGGTTTTTTATTCTCTTCAATTTGAAATCTCCCTTTAAAATTAACGCAACCAAAAATTATTTTTCTAAATAACACAATTGCTTCATTTTTATGCTATGAAAACTAAAAGTATAGGAAATATTTTTGAAGAGAAACAACCCAAGAGTTGTTTAGAATCATCAAAACTAGAAAAGTACACACTTAAAATGGATGGGAAGAGAGATAGAGAGACGAGATAATATATATATATATATATATATATATATATATATATATATATATATATATATATATATATATATATATATATATATATATATATATATATATATATATATATATATATATATATATATATATATATATATATATATATATATATATATATATATATATATATATATATATATATATATATATATATATATATATATATATATATATATATATATATATATATATATATATATATATATATATATATATATATATATATATATATATAAAATTAAAATTAAATAAAAATAATTGATTATATTTTCAAGCGCATTAAAAAATATAGATTCGAAGACACAAAACAAAAAAATATTAAAATACTAAAATATAAAATAAACAAAAAAAACTCATGAACAATATACACACGTTAGTGTCATTTTAAAAATAGACAAACTGGCACGAGAGTATCCATTTAAACACTAATTAAAAATAATTATAATATTTTATTAAAATTTATTTAAAATAGTACATAATCATTAATGAAAATTATATAAAATACTCCTTTAATCAATCATATCTATACTTCATACATGAAAAAATTCACTACTTTAAGAAAAATCTCCTTTAATCAATCATATATATATATATATAATTCGTACATATAAAAAATCATTTTTTTAAGTTAATTCATAAATATTATTAATTTATTTATATTAATACATAAAAATTATTGATCAATAATCTACCTTCATTTAATTCAATTAATACATAACAATTTAACTACATTACCATCAAAAAATCACACATAAATAAAGATTAAATTATAGATATTTATCACTCTTTCAAATATTCGATAAATTAAAAATATTTAAAAAAACTACCCTTGCATCCAAAATCATTTTAAAAAATTTTAAAAATCTAAAGACAAATGAGCATAGAAATTTGGGATTGGATTTTGCTTTAGTCAAATTTAACTGCAGTCACACATTCACATGTTGATAATTGTTTGATTAAGATGGAATGATTTTAATGTATAATTAATAATTTAAAAATTATAAATTTAAAATAAATATATTTTTTCTGAATGGTATGCTCAAAATCAATTAGCTACAAACATTAAGGAAGAGAGTGTAAAAGTAGGAAGAAATATAAAATCAATTAGAAAAAACAAAGCTCCCTTTCCCACAATAAGCAACCATCAAAATTAAGTCTTAGCTGAAATTTCATTCTCATAAAAAAGCTAACTTTATTTCTGGTCCATAATTCCACCTTCTCTCTTCACACACACTCTCTCTCTATCTCTCTCTTTCCATGGCTAATGAAAATCATGATCCATTCTATCATCACACCCACCACCATGATGATGATGAACTCAATCACTCTAACTTTTCATTCTCACAAAACTTTCAAGCCTTTGATCATCCTTCTTCTCATACTACATCTTTCACTGACTACTTACATGGTTCTATGGACTATAACACTCTCTCAAAAGCCTTTGACTTGTCTTGTTCATCATCTGAAATACTTTCTTCCATTAATGATAATAACATGAAGAAATCTAGTGCTGGAGATTCTGAATCATCTTCATCTAACGAAGCTGAAGCTCTCGTAGAACTAGACTCACCTAAAATGGAAAAGAAAGATAAGTATCCAAAATTAGGGTCTGAAGATGGCCATGAAAATTCTAAGAAAGAGTAGGCTCTTTTTTATCTCTTGTTCTTCTTTTCTTCCTCTTTCTTCATGCTTTTTTTTTCTCTTTCTCTTCTTTTAATCCATGAATCTGATAATCTTTTTATTATAAGCTTTTGTGTTATTTTTTTTTTTATATATATATTTTGAGTTTTCTCTGAGCCACCAATAATGCAATAATTAGGACATTTTTCAGTGTCTCCCATGAAATGAATTTGGTCAATTTTGTTTATATTCTATCTCTTCAAATTATTACAATTGTACAGTAGTGTGAATGCAATATTTGTTACTTTTGTGTAGAAAAGGAACTTAACTAACCCTAATAATATCTTTTCCTTATGATCAGTTTCTTATGTTTTTTTTTTAATTATATGTCAGATTTTTATGTATCTTTTTTGCTGTAAAATTTAACTTATGGTTTGGAGTATTTTAGGAACAAGGTTAAAAAGAAAGAGAAAAAACCAAAAGAACCAAGGTTTGCATTCTTGACTAAAAGTGAGATTGATCATCTTGAAGATGGATATAGATGGAGAAAATATGGACAAAAAGCAGTCAAGAATAGTCCGTACCCAAGGTTCATTATTTCCATCTTTGAATTGAACTTTCTTTTTACTTAACCTTTCAAAATAAAATGATGAAGGGTTATGCCACTATTATCAATATTAACCTACATGTTATTTTAACTTTTTTTTATCAATGATTCATATAATCAATCATTCTTATAATCATAATAAGATTTAGGTCATCTGCATTGACAATCGTTACAGATAATCCAAATCTTCGAGATTTGTTTTTTTGTTAAATAAATATCTAATAATGAAATGTATATAAACGTAAAATATGTGTACTTCATGAATTTAAGTCAAAGACGAATTATTAATTAAATTTTACTCATTGAAAATTATAGGTCAAGAAAATAAAAAATGAACTATAATACCTCTAAATTAGTCCATATATGTTGTATTCAAAGATAAAATGTAAGAGTACTAATGTTATAGTTCTTATGTATACAGGAGCTACTATAGATGCACAAGTCAAAAGTGTATAGTGAAGAAAAGAGTTGAAAGATCATACCAAGATCCATCAATTGTGATGACAACATATGAAGGACAACACAACCATCATTGTCCAGCAACACTTAGAGGCAATGCAGCTTCCAACATCTTTTCATCACCATCTCTCTTTGGTTCCAACTCAGTTAGGTTGGAGCAAAGAATACACCAAGATTTCCTTGCTCAGTTTCTTCCTAGTTATAGCCAAAGTAGTAATCATCAAATGTTCCACCAAAATGTTTCTCTACAGGCTCATCAGCATCAGCAGCAACAACAACAGCAACAACATCAGCAACATCAACAACAGTTTCAACTCCATCACGACAATGGTTTGTTGCAAGATCTACTACCATCATCATTTCCAGGAAAACAAGAGCAATGATCAAACTTATATACTAAAGTAATTAATTTACTATCTCATTTCAATTAACATTATACTCCATAAAGTCTCTATGTACTATGTAGTAAGTAGTACAAGTAGCTTCCCTTAACTTGTCCTATATATGTACCTAGCTAGATTTGTATGCAGATCAGAACATTACTTAAGATATATTAATTACTGCAGAAGATGATGCACTTGGATCTTGAATCTCTAATAGTTTTTTTGAAAGACAAGTATGAATATAACTAGATAGAAAATGTTTCCAAAAGGGTTACAATAAAACAAACATAGGCACAAGGAATGTTCAAAAAGCAAAAATCAAAGTAAAGGCCAACAACACCTAAAAGCAAAAAAAAAAAAAATCCATGCAAACTCCCACCTCCCAATGAGAATCAGATTATAGTAATTTTGGTGAAAAATGTCAATGTTAAGGTGTTTAGAGATTTATCTTACATATGGTGGACCTTGAACTAACCTATCCATATTAAGATAAAGTGTTAAGAACATATATATGTAGATGAAGATGAAAGGTTGGTTGGATATTTTGTTTTGAAGGAAAAAGTGTAATTGGCTCTTTAAGTTTCTAGCATGTGTCTACGTGTGTAACAACATTACATACTTCTGGTTGGATTTTTGGATGCATATATACCTAACTTTTCAAGCTTGATGTGATCTTAATTTCAACCAATAATTTGTATAAAAAAAAAAAGAAGTTAAACCAACATTGTTAGTTTTAATAAAGCTTCAATATATTTGTATCATGTTTCATAAATATAGTTTAAATGATAAAAAGCTGCTTAGACATTTGATAAATTTGAGTGCATATATTTGAATATGAAGTTCTTCATTTATCAGCACTTAGTATATGTGAATTTTGTAATAAACTTTTTAGAGTTAAAAATAAAACTTATATATTTATATTACATAAACATGTTAGTCTTACATACATTATGGTTGCTGCTAATCCTAGAATATATTCAAAACATACTCTACAATTTAAATTTGGAGTATTGATTTATGAAAGTGACTTCTTGTTAGAACTAAATTATAAAGAAAAATCTAATATTCATCTTCATCATAGTATAACTTTAAATTATTGGAGAAACCAAATAATCATACAAACATATATAAAATTAAATGATCGATAATTTAATTTTAAAAATATTTGAATCTATTGAAAAAGATCTTTGGCACTAACACTAAAACAATGAGGTTAAGAGAACATTAATAAATATTTGATGGCATGTGTGATTCTTCTTCAACTATACTCCTAATGTGTTGAAAATTATTTAGATAGATAGAAAAGATAATATATTTGAGCACCAAATATGATTCTCATTATTATGAAATAAGTGATATGCACATCCTTTCATATTTGAGCACATATTCATTTAATTAATTAATTAATTTTTAAATAAAACTTAATTAGTCTTTTAACATTATTTGATCACTTATTCTACTAACGCACTTAATTGAAAAAAAATAGCTAATATACCCACATAATTATATGCCCACATAATTATCATTGGAATATTAAAATAATATGTAAGTATAAAATATTCCAACAATCTCTCACTTGAGAAATGTTGGGTTTTGACTCCCTTCCTATTTGGAGAAAGACCCAAATATGAATAGCTCATTTGTCTCACTTATTTAAGTGAGGAGAATCAATTTACGGTTGAGAGAGATAGAGAGAAAATAAGGATTCAAAAGAGAGAGAAATGAGAGAAACTTATTCTTGTTTTCCTGCAATTAGACTCACTAAATTGGCCATTCCAGATTCGTTAACTGTTGGATCAAGCTAAAATTTGAAGGGCAATTTTGCAACACCTATATCTACCTTTTGATCATTGGAGTTTTCAAAACAACTCTGAGCTGAGAGATAATTTCTTCGTACTAAAGCTGCAGATTTGGGTAATTTTTCAGCTTTTTTATTCTTATTTGTAAGTTAGTTTGCTTTATGACTTGCGTTGGTTAACATTAGTTTCTGAATCACTTTAAGACCCTTTTGTACCCTTATTTAATTATAGTGGAACTATTTCTTTGATTTGGACGACTCGTGGTTTTTACTCTCATATTCAGTGATTTTTACGTTAAAATATCGGTGTTCTTTTGTGCCTTTATTTGTTCAATTTTATGTCATATATTTGTTGTTGATCCTAATAGGTTCTTACAAGTTTGACGAATTTTATTTCTGTTGCGTATTGGTCTATTATTGTATCTTAATTTCCCATTAGAGTGGTATCAGAGCTCTTGGTTAAGGCCTATTTTACTTGTTTGAATAATGAAGTCAAACACAAAGAAGACAATGTTATTGAATGGTTCTAGTTATCAATTATGGAAGGGTAAGATGAAAGATTTAATATTTGTGAAAAAATTGCATTTATCACTATTTAGTTTCACAAAGCCGAATTATGTATTTAATGGAGAATGGGAATTTGAACGTCTACAAGTATGTGATTTTATTCGACAATATATAGAAGATAGTGTTTATAATCATATTGCTAATAAGACACATGTTAAAACTTTGTGGCAGAAGATAAAGTCCATGTATGTCTCTAAATCAGGGAATAATAAATTGTTGTTGTTGAATAGGTTCATAAGTTTGATGTATAAGGAGAGGACTTCTATTTCGTATCAGCTGAGGGAATTTCAAGGTGAAATACGGTGGGAGAACTGACTTGGGTGTTTTGTATTTGATCGCAAGTGTTGCGGGTAGCAAAAGTCGCCACCGAATTTTCTTTTATCCAATAAAGAAAATGGTGAAAAGAACAGGAAAGAATCTTTTGAGAATTTTCTTGAGTTCGGGGGATAGGTTATAAAAAGGGAAGGTGTTAGCACCCTTTTCATTCATAGTTATCTATGGGCTCTTAATTGCTTGATCACTTTGAAATGCTTTGTGTTTGTGTATATTTGGAAGTATTTTGAAAACACCTTCATGCGGCAAACTTTATAATGATTCTCGTATCGTTGGGAATGTATACAAAGTGTTGGTTTTGAAAATATTTGTTTGAAAAGGAGTGTTTGAAAAGATGTTTTGAAAATGCCAATGTAAGGAAATTTTGTAATGATTCTCATATCGTTGAGAATGTATACAAAATGTTTGTTTGAAAAGTGTGAAGTATGGAAATGGTTTTGTTTGTGACCAAGCAATTACGAGCAATCTACCTACTCAAAAAGTATTTGTTCTTTTCCTCCTCTTTTAGATAGTGTTATTTTACCATTGGTTGGCAGAGAGCCATATCCAGGCGTGGGTCATCATACAGTCATAGAAGACAACTTGTAGAATGTTTTAGCAATTCGTTATAAGGGACTAAGATCATTTACCGAAGGCAACATTAAAGGTTCATCGAGGGAATATGATCTTTTACTCGAGGGTCTTTTCTAAAACATCCCACATTCGAGGGACATGATTGTTTTAATCCGAGGCAACAAGTGAGGGTTACCTTAGAGGTGCATGTATGCAAAGTGTTTTGATTTCAAGTGTTTTATCTTTGAATTAGGGTTTTTTGCTAATGTTGGTTTTAGTCTTGTCATGGAAATCATAATTACTAACAATAATAAGGAAAGCGATAAATAGTGGAATTTAAATGTCCTACGCTATTATAACGCTTTGGGACAAGTTTTATGAATAATAATAAAATGCACAAAATGTAAAGATGAAGAAAAGAAAATTATTTTTGGGATTTTTGATGGAGAAAAGATTTTATAATTTAACCTAATTAAATTAATTGATTTTAATTACAAGAGAAGTGTAATTAACTTTTAACAAAACCTAAAATCTAAGTTAGTTGAATTTAAGAAAATTAAACATAAGTCTAAATAATTTGTTTAGAAAATAATTTGAATGTTAATGTTAATTTGGAAAGAAAATGTTTTTATCATGTAAAAAAGAGTAATAAAATATACTTTAATTAAAAAAGGAAATAAAGTATTTAAATTAAAATATTTTTAATTTAAGAAAATCTATTTTTTGTATTTTTTTGGTTAAAAATAAATAAAATAAAGAAAATATAAAAGGTATAAAAAACAGTTGGGTCTGGGTGTCAAAAAGTAAAAAGGGGGTTAAAAAAATGAGGCGCTGGACCCAAAATATATTTTTGTTTTAAATCATAGAAAATAAAAAAGGATGGAGTGGACTTGGTTGTGTTTAGTAAAAGGGGTGTATGAATGTAGCAAAAATGTCAAGGCCCAGAAACAAAAGTCCAGCGTCTATGAGATCCAGTATGGCCAGCCTTTTGGAGTGTATCATAGTCCTACTCATGTGGAGCGCTTGATATGGTTGCTTGGCTGGTCTGATGGTGTTGCTATGAAGCCCATGGTAGGCGGGCGTGGCATGTATGCATAGAACCTGAAATAAGAAAATGTGAAACAAATAAAAGCGTACCACTGGGGCTCGAACTCAGGTCCATATAGATCAATGCCTTAGCGTGCGTTTCTCTCACTGGGGTGATTGTTTCATCTGTTTATAATACAACTTCAACTAAATATAAAATAAACTCATTTCCGAACATGACTTCATCCCTAACCTCGCGCCAGTCACCATTGTCACATTTTTTGAATTTCTGATCTTGCTCATTTCTCAACCATTTTCAAAAATGTAAACATAAAAGTTGTTCCATTTTCACCATGAATTCAACCATATAAATAACTTAGGCTAACTCTCAAAGATAAAAATGAATTTCTGTTGGTACCAAATAAACCCTAATTTTTTCAGAAAATTCAACTTTAAAATTCGTATCACTCGGGCAACATAAATGAAAACTAAAGGCATGGTTAGCTTTAGGCAATGATGTCTACATTTTATCTTCACAAAGTAACCATTAATGATGCTTGTATAAGGAGTTCAAAGTTGAGAAAACTTACCTCAAAATTGGAAATCGTGTTTGGAGTTTGAGCACTCCTGAAGATGTTGTGATGATCTGGATAGCTTCATTGAACTCCTAGGAAGCTATTTCAAAGCTTACTTTGGATTGAGAGTGGCTGAATCTTTTTGGAGA